TATCTATCTATCTATCTATCTATCTATCTATCTATCTATCTATCTATCTATCTATATATCTATCTATCTATCTATCTATCTATCTATCTATCTATCTTCTTTTTTGCCCCTGATTTGCGCTGATCGTGAAAATGCTATCATTTATAGGCTTTGGCTGATATTTTAAAAGTGGAATGAAACTTTTAAGTTGTTTAGAGAAACTTCAAAGGAACTGCCCCAACTCGGCCTCCTGGTAAAATACCTGGCGTCGCCATGATATTATATCAACCCGATGACCAACAGGCAGACGGGCGCCTGTCTTATCTTGTGTCTACACTAGCGCAGCTGGGTACCGTACCCCGTTCGATGAACGGACTCAAAAGAATCGATTGTCAAGTCATGGTGGGGGCAGTGCGCACTGCATGCGAACGGAAGCCTCACTTGTTTACAATGGTGTCTTAGAAGACGGACTTTCCCAAGATCAAATCTAAACGAAACTAATGAAAAACTGAAAATCAAACTACAGTGACTCCAGACTCCTTAACATAAATGTGCACACTTTAAATGATTCTGAACCACCGAAAAAAAAATTCAAATTCGAAAGTTAAGCGGTTCCAAAGTTTTAGGCGGCCAAAGGGACGAACTTTCATAAATATAATATGTATAGATATCGATAACAGCTGTAAGGCGACTGGAGGACTGACGAGTATCGGGTGAAATACAGAGTACACCTACATGGTCCTTGATACAGTCTTGCTTCTGATCCTAGCTTCTTTTAGTTTGAATTTAAGCAAAGTTTAACTAGAGCTGTACATGCAATTAATTTGTTGCTACTTGTATTTCCCCTGAGCCTGGCAATCGCACAAGACAGATTTAGATGAGGCAAGACTGGCCAGTTTGTTTCTAGTCTCTAGTCCCTACTTGTCTGCCACGCCTAATATATTAATAACAATAATAATATTAACAATAATGATAATAACAATAATAATAATGACAACAATAGGGATGATAATAATGAGAGGAAGAAGAAGTCCACGTTTTGCCATAGTATACTTTATTTTCCAAGCCTGGTATTGAGAGACCCATCAGGTCTCAGCCCTGGACACTTAGAAGAGCCAGAAGAGGCGCCTAAACACTTCCCAACCAATGTGACAACCGAAATCATCCGCACAAAAACTGGTACTTTTGTTTTTCAATTGCACTCGTCATAATATATCTTTTCATGGATCTTTCCGTGCTTCAATCCTCGTATGAGGGCTTTCGTGGTCTAGAGGTACGGTGTTCGCCTCTCGTTCAATAAGTCCCGGGTTCGAAACCTGACAGCGACGGAACATTTTCTTCTAAATAAATGGTTGTTTTTTCCCATTCACTTCATTCCCGGCTCTCTAATCATGTTCTGTCGCCTGCTTTCGTCTCAAATTTCTCCCCTCCTTTCTCATTTGCCCCCTCCTCTGGGCTCCTGGATCTTCCTGCTGCCTTTCTACTGCTACTCTGTGGCTCCTTTTACTGTTGTCTTCCAGCCACACCTCTGATCTTCGAGTAGGTAAGATCTAACACCTAGCCTTCCCGGAGATCGCGAGTGCAGTTTGGGCACGATCATTTATAAAGACTCCTTGGTGGTCCCAAAATTGATAAGAGTAGTCTTTGGCCGCCGCTCTAGCAAAATTCAAGATTAATTCCTACAAAACTGATTATGAGTGTTGGGTCCCGCGCGCTCATACTAATAATATGATCTTATGCAGTTGCGAGCGCCGTAAAACACTTGCCAAAACAATAGGCCTATAAACAAGCGGTTCTTTCTGTGTAACAATCTCTGAAAGCCCTTTTTTTTCATACTGCATTCTTATAGGTTCTTCCTACTCTCAGTGGCGTCGGTGGCCTAGAGGTTAGGCTACAGGACTCGTAATCGTAAGACTGTGGGTTCAGGGGTTCAAGCCTTAGCTCGGTCAAAGATCGTACATAACAAGATAGTTCACTCCTCTCTTTGAGCCAGTTAAAAAAGTGTCCCCGAAATTCGGTGGCGCCCTCTTCGAAAAAGCGCGAACTTTGCGAACAGAGTTACCCTACTTGTGTGAAAAACAATAAAAGTGAAACCAACATACTGTGCTATTCCTATTCTTCTTCTGGTGAAACGAAAAAGAGTTTCAAAACAAAGACTGTAGCGCCATCTGAAACAAAGCGTGGACTTCCGCGGACACTTTTTTTGGCTGAGTGAACAATCTTGTCATTTACGATCTTTGGCTCGGTCCGACGTTGCGTCCTTGGGAAAGGCAACCTACACGAATTTCCCATCTGGCTCGGTCCTTTCGGAGATGGACGTTAAACCCAGAAGTCCCGCCTTATAAATAACCCAATAGTGTTGATAGGACCGTTAAACCTACACCTACCCTCCCCCTCCCCCCGGGGCGGTGAAACTGACTGGGGTGTCTTTAGGCCATTCCTATAGAAGGCCATTAATATGTTCTTAGGCACAGTATAATTATAAATTGTAAATGGACTGATTGATCAATGTTATGCTCACTACTGTGCCTGAACTGCAACAGGGAACTGCTGCTTTTCTTTCCTAATCCTCACTATCGTATTTTTTCCTCTACTTCTTTTGCATGTTTGTCACACTCTTGTGATCCGCGATTTCCGGGGTGCCTTGATAGTGGAAACAGACTTTGTACTGTAGAAGCTAGAGAGGTGAGCAGAGTAAGCCCGATTCCCTGTAACTGTCCCCGTCATTTTATGCAAGAAAAGTTCTTAAATTATGCAAACTGAGCCTAAAAATGTGAAATTATGCGATTCTATTAATTTTGAGAAAGAATGGTAAAGGAAAATAATCAGAAATTATGCTAATAATGATCAAATTTTGATAAATTATGTGGGGTGCATAAAACTACGGTGACAGCTGTAAGGACTCCTCTGTTGACATCCACCCCTTGGCGCTCATATGACCTTATGCAGTTGCGAGCGCCGTAAAACCTCTACTGAAACTAAAATCTACACCATTTCACCTTTTTTTTTCAGGGTCACAGCCAGTTTAGCCAGGTCGTAGACACAGTCGGAGATCCGGTCTCTTAAATAACCTAAAAGTGTTGTTGATAGGAGCTTTAAACCAACTCTCTTCACTTTTTCCCTAAGCTCACAGCCAGTTTAGCCAGATGATAGACACAGTCGTAGATCCGGTCTCTTAAATAACCTTATAGTGTTAAAAGGAGCTTTAAACCTTTACCATTTCCCCCTTTTTCCTAGGCTCACAGCCAGATTAGCCAGGTTGCAGACACAGTCGGTGAGCCGGTCTCGACCAGTAGTGTCGTGGAGGACCCTGAGCCTGTAGAGGTGGTATCGACCAACACAGTGGCAGAGGAGAACCCCAACGCCGCCATGTCCAGGCTGAGGGGTGTGGCCACTGTAGGAGAGTTCCTCGACCTGCTCGTCGACCAGGATGGCAATCCAATCACGCCTGATACCAGTGAGGATAATCAAATTTGTTGTTGGTTGGGTGGGGCTCTTTCAATCTTGGGGATTTTT